GAGTTCAGAATCACATGTTGTGCTCAGTGGTGGCTGATTGATTATATGTTTATTACAGAGCTGATCATTATCTCACTGGGTGTTTGTGAGAGTCCCCACTGTATTTTTATTTTACATTTGAAGAATGCATGAATAATGAGATCAGCCACTGAACACACCTTGAGGTGTGACCGATTTGTTAACTGCTGTTTCCAATTTCAAGAATGAACATTGAAGCTCAATGAATAAATGCATTTTTATAATTTTAAAATGAAGTAGCAGTTATCATACCAGCATGGATTTCCCACCCAGGTACTAATAATATGGTGAGAGAGCAGCCAGAGAAATAGAAACTGCTGCACACTGTAATTTAATGTGTTACAGAAGTCCTGTTATAAAGGCTGTCGTTGTGAGACTTATCATTTTAGATTGTTGATGATCCAGATACAGACGTGAAAATTAAAGGAAAACCCAACATTACGTGTCTCAGTGAGGTGTTGGGCCACAACAGCTTCAATGGCATTGAATCTCCAAGTCTCTGATCTCTGGAGGATGAGCACCATCTGCCTAAAGATATTCCCTCATGTGGTGTTTTGATGGTGGTGGTGGTGGAGAGCGCTGTCTATCACTGTCGGTCCAAAATGTGCCATAGGTGTTCAACTGGGTTAAGATGTGGTGACTGTGAAGGTCATAGCATACGATTCACATCATTTTCATTCTCATCAAACCATCAGTGACCTGTGGATGGAGACACTGTCATCCTGTTTCTCTGTCTGTATGTTAATGAGGTTGACAGAATGGCTTTCTAAAGCCAGAGTTAGGTTGGACTGAGCTTTATTTTTCATAACACTGTCTGTAGTTATAGGACAGCAGAGATAATAAACATGGTTTCCTCTGGGGTTGTAAGTCATGTTCTCTGATGAACTATCAAATTAGACACAATTGCTACACAGACTACTTTTTATTTGGCATTCATTAGAAAGCCTTTATTAATACATGTCATCACAGCCATAAGCTACAGTATGTGCAGCTGTGGCTCAGGAGGTAGAGATGGTCGGTGGTTTGCCTCCCCGGCTCCTCCAGTCTGCATGTTTAAGTGTTCTTAGGCAAGATACTGAACCCTAAACTGCCTGTGATGGCTGTTGCATCAGTGTATGAGTGTGAGTGGGTGTGAAGTATGTCTGTATGAGTGAATGGGTGAATGTGGCAAGTATAAAGTGCTTTAAGTGGTCTCTAAGACTAGAAAAGTGCAGTCCATGCAACTGCTGTAAACAAACGATATCATCGCGTCTTATTCTCTCCTTCTCTCTCTGTTTATTGCTGCTACACGTTTTTCTGTTTCTGTTGTCAGATAATGGAACAAGTTTGAAATAGTGACTGAAACGTGGCCTATTAGGCTACATGTTAACTTACAAGTTAACTTACAAGTTAACATGTAGCCTTCTCTGCTGCTGCAACAATCCTGATTTTATAACTGTGATGTCGTCGGACAAAATCACCAAACACATGAATGAAAGACAAAGACTGAGCTGTGATTTCAGCTGGATTTACTGTTACATGATCAGAGAGAAAGTTAGAAGAGACAGACTATCTTTCTTTTTTAGTATCTGACACAGAGCACAGCCTCTGTCTGGGATACACAATAGTTTAGTCTTTATTTACTTCAACCCCAGAACATCACAGACTTTTATTGGAGGCAGGTCTTTATGACTAACTCCCTCTGTTTGATATGTAGAGTTGGTCATAGGTATTTTAGTATGAAGCGTCGTTTCAGTCAGTCGTGTTAAAGTCATTGCATTACGTGTTAATACAAACTCACAACTTCCTGTAATCATTTCAAATTAAAAGCCCTGTAGCGTTTCTGTGGACATAGACCTTTTATTTCTTAACAGGGCTTTTGTTGCTGTGTTGCAATAAGCGTAGTATCTCATTTCTGGTTTCTGGCGTTACTATTGTTTACATACTATTCAGATCTCCTAGTTCCTTAATGTTAGCTGTTACCCCCTCCCTCTGTCCTGCTCTCTTCTCTTTGCCTGGTGTGTCTTATGTTTAGTTATTCCTCTGTTTCCTTTAGTTATGATGATACATGTAGTCAAAGTAATTTTTTTGCCGTAATGGAGGCGAGGCTCAGTGTATCCGAAGCGCGCCTCCTCTTCCCTGCAGCTTCGGAGCAGCCGGGAAACCAGAGCGACTCGGTAGACTGCTTGTAACAAGAGGTGTAGCCCTAAGCCACCGGTCGGCATCCATGCATGGTCCTGTCATGTGGCATTCACCCGACCAATGGTGGAAATATGATCACTAAGTCATTCAGGGACATTGGCCATTATAGAGCTGGCCCTGGTGTTGCGGTCTAGCCAAAAAGTGGAAGTGTGAAAGTTGTGTGCTTCAATCTACAAAACAGATATTACAAATAAGAGAATGTGCATTCACATCTATCTATCTGTGTAGTGAAAGAATTGAAGCTGATCATCATCACGTTTAGCGATCTGGTGATCTAGACTCTGCTGACCCCTCTCCCCCTCCCCTGTCTGTCTTTACTGCTCCACAACAGACAAAAAAGCAGAGTATTTACTTATCCCAGCATTGGCTTCAGAGGCACTGCTTTATTGTCCCTGCAGGGGCTTCCTGACAGTGGTGAGCAGGCCTCCCTCCACATACTCTCCCTGAGCTCAGACACAGGGATCACAGAGCACACACAACTTACAACCAGCTTCAAATCAGCTGCTTCACACTTTCCCTCAGAATTTACTCACAGCTACTGAGTGAGGAGATTATTGTTGTTAATATGATATTATTGTTGTTTTAATTGCACAATCTCAGTCTCTGGGGACTGTTAGAGCCTGTTGTGAAATGATTCTTTCCATGGAGGGGTTATGAACACCAGCACAGGAATGTCCCTGAGGCAAAGTGGGCAACTGCTCCAGGCCCCACACACTTTTAGAGGCTCTGATGACCCCTCATTCACTGTGTTACGACAGATGAATTGTAAATTTGTTTGTCAGAATGCACCAGTTAAGAGGCCAGTACACTCTACCTGCTTCTCTTCTGAAACCCCCTCCCCCCACACCTTTCCAGGCTGTCTCTGATCATGTGGATTAGGTTAAGGTTACCCAGGTTATACTAGAAGTGGTTCATACTATGTGATGTCCGACCAGGTACCACGTATCTGCCCATCAGACAAGCAGCTCTGACATTGGCCCCTTAACCCAACCCTCAGGCACAAACAAAAACTACAATGATAAAAGATGATGAAAGATGATATGTTCTATATTTTTGGAGTTAGGGGCGGAGTCAGGGTCTGGCAAGATGGTGACGGTGGAGCAGCTCACTCTGAGCTTCAAAACCGCTCTTCAGAAACCTGTGGGTGACATCACAGAGACTACATCCATCTTTATTTACAGTATTTGGTTGGTTATAACTGAGGAAGTAACACCACAAAAGCAGCAGAGTTTGATACTTTTCCCCCCATTTTATTTCTTTTTTAAATAGAAAACATTGCCCAGTCGGGCAGAGTTGAAAGAAAAATATTACAAAAGTAAAAGAAAATTAAAAAAAACAAACAAACTATGATGACGGCACAGTCACTGATCCTGTTGCATCAGTCTTAAAAACCAGCCATTCTTGTTGTAATGCTGAAAGAGGAGCATTAACCCGATGGAGTGCTACGATGTAGAGTACCTGCTGATAAGCAACACAGGTAGGAACAGGACAGTGATTCAGGCCTGCCATGAGAAAATGTTCCGCCCTCAAACCTGTAACAGAAGACCAGACAATGTGGGTTTCACATCACAGCTCAATGGGATTCAGCACTGAAGCCACACCTCTGTAGACTGGGACCAGCCACAACACTTTTTTTATTTCAACATAAAAGAAGGGACTTTATAGAAAGAGACAGCAATGTGTGACTTGAGCCGTCCAACCAGAGCGCTGCTCCCACTTCAACCCACTGGAATATAAAGGCCAGACTGGTTCCCGCTTCACCCATCAGAACCATCAGAAAGGCCTGGGATAGATACATAGAGCTTTTGTGTTTACTCTCCATTATACAGCCAGTTTCATGTTTGTACCTGCAAAACAACACTCAGCCACCTACACACACACACGCACACACACACACACACACACACACACACACACACACACACACACACACGCACACACACACACACACACACACACACACACACACACACACACACACACGCATGCAAACACACACGCACACACATGCACACACACGCACGCACGTACACAGACACGCACACACACACACACACAGCAGGCAACATGATACCTAAAGCAGACTGTGCAAAACTCTTTGGTGATAATGAGTTTAAGAAAACATGAAAACTATCCCACAACTGACATGGTTATACAATCTTTCCAATATACATATTTAAACAGTCAGAGAGTAGAAAATGGAGCCTGCAAATTCAATAAATTAGACAGCAAAAGATGAATTGCAGATATCAAATCCAGCAGTTGGGTTCACAGAAATTAATAATAAAGAAAAATACAAAAACAGTAACAGTGTTATGTCTTATTACCAAAACCTTAAAAGCAAATGGAAAAGTAAAACCACTGTAAAATCAAAGGAAATCAAATGAAACGGCCCTTAGGAATCTCTCAGATAGCTATTATTGGAGTTTTCATTGATGAAGTGTTTCGAATCGAGTCTTTTTGTAAACATTCACAATCAAGAGTTGAGTTATGTTTCGAGCACTGCTGGTCTGAGAGCACATGGACACGTGTTCGTCTGTTTTATGCATACAAGACAAATGGAATAGTTAAGGGCCATGGCAGTGTACTTCACTGAGGTACACATGAATAATCCCTGCCTCCCCCTCTCCCACCGCCCTGACAGATAACATGGGACAGGCTGGAGGAGCCTCCGGCTCCGGTATAAATCAGGCTCACACAAGAATATTGGTTAATATTCCTTCTATCATCAATCAAAACATGTACAAGGGCACAGACTGTCTATGAATTGTTCATCGTGGCGTTTCTGTATATTTTCTTTAAAAAAAAAAAAAAAAAAAAAGACATGTTTTCAAGAGATATCCATGTGAAGTCTTTCATTTCAGTAAAAAATAAATTAGGTAGTGAAAACACCACTAAGAGGAGGAAATGAGCACAGAGAGGGTTCAGGTTCAGTTTGTGACAGTCTGCAGCCCGGCCTCACTCACACTGTCCTAACTGAGCCGTTATTGCTGGCCAGTCTCCTGAAGCTGAGGTCGTTCTTCTCCAGCCAGAGCTCGGCCAGCTGCTGGGTGGAGCCGTGCGACGAGGCTTTGGAGCCCAGGCACATCTTATACTGCTTGGCCTCCAGGTTGGGATCACATATGACCGGGTGGTGGACGTGTACTATCCCTGTGTCTGTACTTCTGAACAACTTAATCCCTGACTGGACAAATTTATTGAAAAGGTCCACGTCCTCCAGTCCCCACCCCTGTATGGAGGTGTCGAAGCCTCCAGCCTGGACCAAGTCTCCCTTGTAGACACAAACAATCCCAAAGCCGTAGTTCCTCCACAGGCCCGTCTTGGAGGTGAAGACATAGTGGTTGTTGCTGGGGACCTTCCCAGCGTACACCACCTTAGGGTCATACTGGCTGAAGATGATGGGGAAGTAGGTTTGCTCCCCGAGGGCGGTGTTGCTCCGACATCGCTTGAGGAAGTCGCTGGTGAAGAGCAGATCCACGTCACAGTAGAAGAGCAGCGAATCGTTGGAGAAATGCAAGGAGCCGACTTCCAGAGCCAGAGCCCTGGAGAAGGAGCCGGCGACGGGCTTTATCTCCATCTCGGCCCGGGGATACTTCATGTGATACTCCCTCATGAGCTCCACCTGCTTCACCCGCTCTGTGTTGTTGTCTGTGCTGAAGAGCAGGATCAGCAGCTTGACATTCTGGTTGGGGATCAGACACACTCGTTCAAAGTTGGCCATGAAGCGCACAAAGATGTCATACCGTCCCGACAGAGGGACCAAGATGTTGACTTTCTTCTCCTTCGGTTCCCTCTGGTCCTGTCCAGAGGTGGCCAGCTTAAAGGGAACCAGCATCTTCAGGGAGTTGGACAGAAATGAGAGGGAGTCTGACTCTTTGTTAATATGGCTGGCCAGAGCTCTGGCATCCATCTCCTCCTCCTCTCTGAACTGGATCTGGCTGAAGGTCTGCTGCAGGTAGGCGTGCCTCCTCACAGGAACCGTCATGGTCTTTCCTTTGTGCTTCTTGTACAGCAGCAGCAGATCCAGCACATACTCTGCCCCGTATAAAGGATTCACCCTCCGGTAGCCGTACTGGATTTCTTTGAAATCAATGACGCGGCCCCGTGTCTTGGCATTGGCGTTGATCATCTCCATCACTTGCATGATGATGTCGTCCAGGGCTTGTCTCTGGGAGGAATCCATCCCACGTCGGGGTGGCTGACCATCATTTGATGAGAACAGGTACTTCCCTGTCAGGAACTCCCACTCCAGAACCTCCTCCCTCTGCCGTGGGTGGAAGCGCATGAATGAGGGCGGCATACCGAGCTGGAGGTCGTCTCGGCTGGGCTCGGCCGCTCCGTAGCGTCCCATCTGGACGATCTCCCGGTGGAGCTCGATGGTTCTGTGGCGCAGGTCAGCGATCTTGCGGCTCAGCATGTAGCTGTGGAGGCGGTACTGGTAGGGAGGGTTCTTGTTAGGGTGCAGTGTGATGGCTCGATGGATCTTGCTGTTGTGGAGATCTCGTATGTAGCCCTTCTTGTTTGGCTCGTAGTTCTCATAGAAGAGCTGCTGCATCTGTGGAGACAGGAAAAGGATCTGTGTTAGAGCCGCTGGAACACTGGATCTTCACTATTACACATTTATTCCAATCAAAATGCAAACTGTCACAGCCACCTGTGACAAATGAAGGTTCAGGGATGACCAGCAGTTTTTGTTCTGAGCTGCACTCAGAGCCATGATGCTGCAAGAACATGTGAAGTGAATAGTTTACTTCCATGAAACCATTTTGACCAGAGGTTCTTTAGAACATATGATATAAAATGGACTTCCTTTATTGGAATTTAGCTACAGTCAACTCCTCTTTTATAGCCCAAATCAAAAATTGGGATGCAGGTTATATCAGTGTAAGTGAGAAAATTTAATTATTGTCATGGTTACTATAATAAACCAATACTGTAATTAGTTCCGACAATAAGGAGCCTTGACTGCCACTTGAAACACGACTCTGAAGAGGGATTTTTGCCTCTTGGCCTTTCTCCCTCTTCCCTGCCTGTTTACAAGAGGGCGTGGGTGAGCTGCACACACACACACACACACACACACACACACACACACCAGACAGCAGCTCAGAGGAGAGGCCTTAGCAGAGAGAGTGAGACACACTGAAGCTGTATTTGCTCGCTATCCTTGAGTGCAACGAGCTAAAAACTTTAACTGTACGTAACAGTTGAGCCCATTTGTCTGAGAGTGAGTTGAATCGTTGTCGACTGTGAGGCTGAGATCAACCACTCCCTCCTGCTCTCTGAGTCTCTTCACCTCAGGAGGAGGAGGAGAAACATAAGAGGATGAATGATGACACAAGGCTGTTAGCCAGCTTATTGTAAAAGGCTCTAATTAGAGTGGGATACAATGGCTTCAGGTAACCATTAATTAGTCCAATAGTGTGTAAAACTGTTCAATGGTTTTTGTCAATAAGTTGATAAAGTCTCCCATTAATGTGCTACATGTTAAAAAAACAACAAAAAAACTAAGGTTATTACAGACAAATTACAATTACAAATGATTTCTTTATTCTGAAAGATCTGTAAACATTGGTAGTAAAATATTCTTATGTATTAATATATCCTTTATTTTCCTCTTCATAATTTTCCATTTGTCAGATCAGATATCAGTTATTATCTCTAATCAAAAATACTGTATATGCTGGTTTATGTGCATGTAAAGACACTTAACCAGTATCCTTCAGTGTTCTGCTGATGCAGGCTCCAGTTGAAGGGCCTCAGGGGGTATGCTGTACAACACGCACTGCACAGTCCACTGCTGACAACTAGTGAGTGAGTGAGTGAGTGTTTACTGCAGACCTGCTGGAGCTTTACAAACCTACTGTTCCTCAAATTGCAGGAGGCTAAAAGTGTGAACACTGGGACAGCTGTTTTGGAGCCGCTGGCAGGATCTCAGCCGTGGTCAAGAAGGCAGGGTTTGTGTTGTTGCCTTTCAGTGAAGGGAGCATCAGAACGGCTGCAGCGCCCAGAAAGTCTAATTTGAGAGGAAGGCTCTGGAATGCGGCCACAAGCCTGATCCCCGGGGGAAAGGCCGTACGGGGAATGAGACAGGACGTGCCTGAGAGCTATGGAAAATGATACCTGAAGCTGAATACGATCACAGGAACTGCCAGAGCAACTCTTTGCTTTTCCATGGCTTTAACCTGTGCTCCTCTGTACCTTAGAGAGGGCAGCCTGCCAATCAAAACACACTGTAAGCTTGTCATTAATGGAAGTCTTGAGCCAAGCGGTGCCTTCAGAGGTGAAGGGTCTGAAAACCAGGCCACTGCATGTGCAACAACTTATTAAAAATTCATGTAGTTTTCCTTCAAACAGAAAACAATACCTGCACTTTAATCTGACGATAGTTATGTAGAGACATTTTAACACTGCTGGTTTCATCTGTCTGTAAAGCTAATGGCTTTTTGTCTTTTTCATTAATGCTCCTCCTGGCTTCATTCAGGTGTAATAGCACATTGACACAAAGAGCTGCATATATTTGACACCTGATGTGCAAGCGGAGCAGAGAGAAAGAGAAACACAGGGGTGAGTTATAAATGTTGTGATTGCAGCTGCATCGCTGATGGATTTAAAAAAAAAAAATTGCCATTGAAGCCTTAATTAATAAGCATTGTGAGTGAGGTGGGGACGCGCACCCCCACCTCTCATGGTGAATCCACTGATACATTTTCACATCAATTTCATTAGCTAACATTATTAGACAGCGAGTCCTGCTGCTGCCTGTTTTATCATATCCCACAGTGCACGGGCATCGATTGACAGGATAATAGGTTGGGACTTCAATTTCTTTTTGCTCACACGCTGTGTGTAAAGTGCTCTTCTGGATATAAAAATATTCATCCCTGCAGTTGTCATGAATAAAATCACTGAAAATATTTACTGTGGTTCTGCGAGAAAAAAAAAAAATACTGAAAATCTCAAGAACTTCAGTGTTGAAGGGTTACAGGATGGTACACATGCACATTTGTCTCTCTGTCCATGTTTATCCTGCTGCTGCTGCTGCTGCACCCTTTACCTTAATCTAATTGCATTTAATTCAGTTGCTGCCACTTCCCTGTATTTATTTCCTTTATGGGACAAATGTTTATCAGTTTGAGTGGTTTCCCTTCCATTCCCTCAGTGTTTTTCCAGGTAGCTCAGTTGATAGTGATGCTGGGGGAGAGCTGTGTGCCGGCTCAGACTGTATCCAGCAGGTTAACACCGGTGGTCATCAGCTGACAGCCAATCGCTCAGGATGTTTATGTCTCTCTCCTGCGGCTTCACCATCATTAGCCCGCTTCCTAATTATATGACCTCCACTTTTGTGGTCACCGTTGCAACTTACGACTCATTAGTACGATTTCTTCACAGTCATTAACCTCACAACATCAACTAAAATGGTTCTCAGACAAGGGGAAGACAAAGGTAAGTCACAAGTTACTGCTGGAAGCTGAAGCCTCGTGTGCTTCATTTCAAACTCGGCTGTTATGGAGATAACTCTGGGAAGATGATAAGCAGAGTGGCTGCTTACGCAACTTATTTTAAATAAACTGTGTTAACACTTTATATTAGGCTTGGCTTGTGAAGCCTTGTACATTGAAACTTCAGATACTATGTATGTTTTAAGTTTGGTAATAACCCTATTACATAACCCATAACTTCAACCGAGTCAATACAAACACAATAATCAAAGCAAAGCAAGAGAAACAGTGTTATCAAACCAGTAACACATTCAATGACAAAGGACAAAGTTATCTGAAGTGAAGGGAGATGCCAAACCTATGAACATAGCCTGAGCCCACGCTGTGACTACACTGGGGAAATGATACCATTATCCTGCAGGGCGTCACAACCTAAACAATCACACTGCTACACACCACAAGCAAATGCCTTGAAATTGATTCTCTGCAGAGAATCACTCTTCAGTCTGGCAAAACTCAAGACAAGAGATCCTGAAAAACCAACACCAGAGACCAGCTTCATTTACTAATTAATACATATTAATACACAGGGAAGGTGATCTGTGACTGGGTGTGTGCTTCCTCCAACTGCAAATTTCAACTGGGAAAGTTTTTTCTTTTCTTTCTCACAACACCCTGTCTTTCTCAAAAACAGAGGGTGTCGTGAGTTGTACCATAAATAACTTAAATCAAATTTGAAACAAAAGGCCGAAGGAGTGAAGCTCTGAAGACTTCATAACTCAGACGTCTCCAAATGTCATAAAGTTGTCATTATAGTGACAGAGTCACGTCCCAGTGAATTCACTCACTCACTTATTATACAACACGGTTGTATAATGTCTTTGTTGGCTCTGGGGAACATTTGTCAAGTCTGACAAAATAACCCCTGATGATGTCATAGTGATGTCATCAGGGTTATATCAGCTTGGACTTTAGGGATATAAATTAACAACAGAAAGCTCATGACATTTGAAAGGCAAGGACATTTACTGGACAGAGTCGCCTGATGAAAAGAGTTGCATTATGGGAAAAACAGTGATTAAAGAATAAAAGTAAAGATATCTCAGCCTCTGCTGCTTTAATCTTGTTAATTTGTCTCCTGAGTCCTCTAACTTTATGAAAGTTCAGCACTAAATTGCTGAAATACAAAATTTATGGTTAAACATTTACTGAGTCTATGTATATTCTCATTGTGTTTCTTTGTCTGCAAAAAAAAAAAAGAAAAGAATGTCAAAAGTCAACAGTTATCCATCACTACAACAGACCATGTTCATGTGTTTGTGTTTGGATGTAAAATATATGCGATGCTGGGAGGCTTGTTGCAGCAACGACAGCAAGAGTAGGCAGAGGAAGTGAAGCCTGAGGCTCAGTCAGAGCAGTAGGTGAGACAGCATGGCTGCCACTCTGGCTGGGTTTAATCTGCAGGACAATAGGCAGTGCCTGCCTCCGAGAGGGCCATGCAAATCTAATTGGAGACAGCATTATACTGCTGTAATTGGACCTTCTGTAAACGAGGGCGCTCTGTCCAAACTAATTTCTCAACTCAGGGAAAAGCTTCTTACACATAAGACAGCTCAACAATAGGTCTGGTATTGATCTGTGTGATGGGATGTGGTTGTACCAACAACAGCGTCATGACACCAGATGACTTCATCAATATTAGCCATCTAACCTGCTGACTGCTGGTGAGTGACTGCACAGGCCACAGACAGCTGCTGATTTAGACCAGTGGTCAGTAACTGGTGCCAACAGTTACTCACAGAATCACTTCCTCTTTAGCGATTTTGCCGACAAAATAAGAACATGGGAAAGTTCGTTTTTTTTTTCTTTTTGCAGCAATGCTTTATTCCAAGCAATTGTGAGCTCTAATTCTGAAAAGTTCGGACAAGAATTTCCAAAGGTTCTGTTGTTGACAGACCTCTGAAATAGTGGACATGCGATGTGTGATATGTATAATATGTGAGTGTGGGCCACAGCACCACATGTGAACAGTAAATTCCAGTTGCATTTTATCAATCAATTTCTTTAATTAGCCTTTGATTATTTCCTGGCTGCCATCTAATGGATTAGAAAA